CCGCTTAGGGATTTTTGGAGCTAATTAACAGGTCAGCTGGTAAGCTGTTTAAGAAGAGTTTGAACTAATGGAGAGAGGCTATTGTTTTGCTGATGGGATAATAAACACTGTTATCATCCTCCTGCTGGCTTGCTTGGCTGTAGGTTTGCTGCAGACAGGATACAGAAGCAGAGAGGGAGATTAAAAAGCTCTGAATCTTCAACAGATGCATGCACTGCACACACCCCTTGCCTCAGAGTGCTAGCAGGGGGCTGGGGGCTGGCAATACTCCCGTCCCTTGAGCAGCCAGCGGAGAATCCCTAATCAGAGGTCCTGCCAGGGCCTGGCCATGCCCCGCCTCTGCTCAGCATTGTGTAAGGGAAGAGAGGGTTGTTGTAGTGCCCCCCGGCTTCTAGCCTGAGCCACTGAAGGCGTGTGCCTGAATTTCCTCAGTCCAGAGAGAATGTCTGTCCAATTACAAATCGCTTCAGCCTAGCCAGGTTAGACTAACCTGCAAAGATTGAATCAATTCAGGCTCAGGCTTTATGAATGTCTGTCCCTAGCCAGAATGGGAGGAGGGGAAGGGAGCAGAGAGAGTTCAGTTTGGTGGTTTTTCAGCCCCCTCTGGAGGGTGGGGCAGATGTATTGGAGCCCCTCCCCCCCACACTCCACAAGGTGCGGTGGTTTCAATTCACCCACTCCACCCTCCAGCTCCAGCTAAGAAACCTCTAGAATGAGCTTTCTCTCCTCTCTTTCCCCCCTCCCATTTGAAACAGAGACAAGCTGGGAGAGAGGAGGGCCCATTGCTAAGGGAAACTGGCTGTAGACTGGCAACCAGCAGCTAGATTTCCCTTCCCACCAGTGGCAACTTGTAGGACACCCCCCTCCCCCCTGCCGGTTGGCAAGATTGGCCATGGGAGACCTCCCCCTCAGTTGCTGACCAGTCACTGGGGGGGGCACGCACCCCCCCGACTAAGGTGGCGCCAGTCGCCCATGCTCCTCCCTGGAACTAACAGCAAACTTCTGTCTGGGCTGGGGAATCGTTGTCCTGCAAAGCCTTCTCAGTTACAGCAGGGAGCTGCACTTCTGTCTGCGCCAAGATGCTTTTCCCCTTCTTCATTAGGTGAATTTGAAAGCCTGGCTTGTTCCAATCCAGTTCCGCTTAGAGAAGGGTCAGGTGAAGCTTGGTGAAGAACTTCTCCATAGTTTGGCTAGCCCATTTCTAATTTTCACCCACTGTGTAAAAAATAACAATGACATTGTTAATTTTACATATTTGCTAACAGTATTCCAAATTACTATGAGTACAGTTCCATTTGTGCACATCTCTCATGTACAAGTACATGAACATGTGCTGCTAAGTAAAACAATGTGTCCATGCAATCTAGTACGACACCAAGTGGGAGAGTGCATACAAAGACACCGCATTAACAGACTGGCAGTCGAAGCTGCTTCTTCGGATCCCAGTTACTGAAACATCATATGGGCTGCAACAGAATAAACATAAACACTGTCAAGCACATAACCAATAGCAGTTTTAAAGCCAAAAGTAAGGATATATGCTGCACAATTTTATTTTATATTCTCTGCTACTGTCCACAGTACATTTTCCAAGGCCAGTGGAGGGTTTTCAGGGACTCAGCAATATGCCTTCATCAGACAGGAGCGGCGCAGATTCCCTGTGACAAAGAACAAGCTAACTGCCTGGTTCTTTAGCATTCAGAAACTACTTGCTAAATGTGACTACTTGACCTGTGGATCGAACAGTACTCTGTGTCTTTGCTAATGAGTAACAGTAGACTGGTGTTTTGATAAGTATTTCATGCAAGATTAACATGTGATCAACAGAGACGCATTATACAGTTTGGGACCTGATCTTTTTTCTTTGCCCACCCGCCCAAAACTCCCACTGATGTCTTGTTGTGTGAGGGGGGATCACCTCTGTATTATAAACTGAAGTGCTCTAAATTTGAGCCTTCTAAGCAAGCGCTTGTAGTGCATGATTATTGAACACTATTAAGCCTTTGCATTGGGATCAGAGCAGCTATGCTCCAGAATCTAGAAAGCATTTTAAAACATGGAGTCTTTCCTGAGGCTCACGCTCTCCTTCTCTCTCTCTCCCTCTCTCAATGTGGGTGAATGTTTTCTTTCCTTTGTCCAGGAAAAGGAGAAGAATCATACCCAGATCTTCTGGCTTTGGTTATCGCTGTCATTGTGACCATCATTGTTTCCATGGGAGTGAAGAACTCTGTGGGATTCAACAATGTGCTCAATGTCATTAACCTGGCAGTGTGGATCTTCATCATGATAGCTGGAGTGTTCTTTGCCAAAGGTGACAATTGGTCTGAGGGGCGGTTCCTACCCTTCGGATGGTCAGGGGTAAGTGTCTTGTACTCAATCCAGTATGTTATAATCAACAGCAGCCTTAAGCTTAAGCGTCTCCCTGGCCACATAGGGCCAGCACCACATACCAGGTACTACTTCAAGCAGGGCAGTCCCTGGGGGCGAGGGGTGAATTGGGTTGACCGCCTCGGGTCCTGCGCTTCGGGGGGCCCCGCGGAGCTGGGCAGAGTGGCCATGGCGATTCCTCACTGCCAGCTTTGCATCCAGCTACTCACTACACCCCTTCCCCCCACCACCAATGCCACCACTGCAGATGGCAATGGCAGTTACTTTGGGTCCAGGGCACGTGGGATCAGAGCAGGGGTGGTACCCCGCACGGACTGATTTGCCCCAGGCCCCACACCCTGCTCAAGTCAGCTCTGCAGTCAGACAGGACAAGAGATGAGACTTGAAGTCAGAGCTGACCTGAGCAAGGTGCAGGGCCCAAGGCAAATCAGTCCATGCAGGGTCTGCAAGCCATGATTGCACAGGCGCTTCCCATGCATTGCATACCTAGAGACCCTGTAGTGCTAGATATACAACATACATATCACAGGAAAACCCCAGTCTCATTGGACATAACTGATAAATGTTGGGAGAGGAAGCAGAGGAGCAGATGGGCAAGGTGACCTTCCCTGGGTCTCACAATGCAAGTCAGCATCAGGGCAGGGGTCAGAGCCAGATCTCCAGGTCCCAAGTTCCATGTCCTCTCCACTGGACCATGCTTCCTTTTGAGCCAGGCAGAAGTCAAAATCCCTGACCACCCTCCACTTCCTTCTTGCTAAGGAACCACCGGTGTGGTTCCACTTCATGAGTCCGTGGGCTTGTAAAGAGAGGAGTCATAGGAAGCCCCAGGGTCTGATAAACGAGAGTGGTAAGAGAATACTGTGGGGCATAGGCACAGGTGAAGTTTATGATGTGTCTTGTGGATACATCTAAGAAGAAGAGAGACGAATTTGGGATGGATGAAACTAGAGTGTCTGGTTTGCAGGAATTTTTTTTTCTTTTTTAATTTCATATCCATCCAAATAATCTTTTCCCCAAAATTTCAACAAACCAAAAGTTCCCTGACACAGCAGCTGTTCAATAAAATTGCTGCTTTTGCCAGTCTAATACCAGGGAATAGGGGCAGGGAGAGTTCTGGAGTACCTAGCTCTGCAGGCCAGCTATGAAGGTCTGCCCCAGCCAAGGTATATGTAGGTCCCAGTGTTCAAGTTCCCTGAGAACCCTGGCTTGGCTTCAGTAACAGCTGCCAAGCCCAAAATATTTCTAATATTTCAGACTCAATGAAGCAGCATTTTTGTGGAAACTGTTCCACTGAGTTTTGGTCTGAGTTGAGCAGAAAGCAGTGTGGGGTCTCTCATGGCTCAGGGTCTCACTAAAGGAAGGACTGGACCTGCTGTGTGTAAATGTTTCCTAGAAAGAGATTTACAGCAGCATATCTGAAGGACTCTCCAAAAGATTAAAGATGACCAAAAGCTGGGACCATTTTTCCCACCCGCATCCAAATTTCAGATCAAATAGGATCCAAGGCCTAAGTCTGGTCCAAAGACCAATCCCTGACCCAACAAAACAATGGAACAAAGGCAAAAAGCTGAAAAGTAACATTTTTCAAAGTGCTTAAGTGCTTTAGGAACATGCATCCCCATGACTTTCACTGGGAATCAGCCTCCTCAGTAACTTGGGAGCTTTGGAGACATTTTCACCTGAGGCCATGTTTTTATGATGCAGCTTAGCATCCTTTTACGATGCAGTTTAGCCATCTATAGTGAGGGAGCTCAGAACAGCTAGCAGCATTTTTATACAGATGGGAGGACACGGCGTTATTTGTTTTGGTTGGTTTTCAATAAAAATGTTCTAAGCTGTTTGTTTTGTGCACTTCATAATACCACCTGTCAATGCTTATTTTAAGGATGTTAGCTCAAAGCTGACTGAGAATTTGAACAGATTTGGCTTTTTTAGCCTGCTTGAACTAGTTTTTATCCAAGGATGAACAGAGACTGAAAATATCTCTGCTGGACTAAACCCAGAATAAGTTATTGGATTTTCACTGCTTAACTCCATAAAGGTTTTGTGCAGAAAGCTAAGCAGCAAAGTAAAGTAAAGCAAGATTTCTGATACTGGATCCTAGACCACAACATGCTCCACTCGCTTCCCTCCGACAAATCAATATTTCATTGCTGGATAAAAACTACCATGAAGAATGAATCACTGAGCCCACCTGAGAGTAGAGCTGATGCTGACTGGCTATTTGATGCCATGTGGCTGGAATAAAACCAAATTGGCCCACTTCTTGTAACTCCCTAAGATGCCAATACTTTTTCTGCTTTTTTCCTCTCTCTCTCACAATATTTTACAGAAATTCAAGGCCAGCTCTTTCTCTACCTCTTTCCATAGGCCTGTTTCAGCATTTGTTTCTTATAAAGATCCTTAATGATATTGTATATTTAAAGAAAACAAACCCAATAAAACATTTAAACAGTACAAATAATTCTGCATCCAAGGGTTTCCAGTGTGGGCTGCTAGCCCATCCACAGTTTCCAAATAAAACAGAATTTATTTTGAAAGCTGCACTCATCCCCTTGCTTTTATTCTGCTATTGTGTTCTGTCAATTAGCACTTTTAGCTGCCACATTAGAAAGTCTGCTAATGTGGAATGTGTGAGAATGCTACAAATTCCTATGAAATGTATCAGATTTGGGGGTCTAATGTCACTAAAGTGAGTGAATAGATAAAATTGGTGAAGTTTCTCATCTGTCATTGACAGGACCTGTCGTCAGATTCAGGGACAGCACAGCTGCAGAACTGTATCAGGCATTAGGAAACTGCAGTTGACCAGCTTTAGTTGAATGTACCTCCATAACCGAAGGAGCAGTATGCACAGGATTTAGGGCTTCCTCCCTCAAGGGGATCACCATTCCAAATGGATCTCTTATTGGTTTAATATGCTTTAATTCTTCCACATCGCCTTGATTTCCAGGTATTTCAGCATGTGGCATGATTCAAGTGACATGTTGAGGTGTTTGGTAGAATTAAGGCCCCAAATTCAAATGCCAACATGTGGGTGTAGATACTCTGGCCAGGCCTGAAGGCTGCATACATATGTGCTCGTTGGTGTTCTAATTAGAACGTGTCAGGGCAGGCTCAATTAATTGAATCTGCTCTGTGATTAATCAAGTCTGCTCCACTTTCTAAGCCGAATGCTCCAGCATCGCCACGGTGTCACGTGATGAAACCCCCACACGTTCGAAAATGGCTATGGGGAACTTGATCTAAACCTCAGAAAATGAGGTTTAGATAAAGCATCCCGTGGCCATTTTTAAACACACAGGCTTACTACACATGACAGTGAGGCGTTTTAATTAGAGCGGCTGCCCAGGAACCACTATAATTAAAATGCCTCCGCAACTCCAAGCACGTGTATAGGGAGTCAAGATGTCCAAAAGACAGCTGAAGTAGAGCGGGGCTCAAGGAGTTGCTTCAGGCCAAATTTGCCTAGTTTTGCATGAGTTGTCTTCATGTTAAAAAGGAGCAGGCTTTGGGAGGAGATATGAAGGGAAAACCTTTCTCCAGGCTGGGGAGTGCGAATGGGCCCCTTTTGTGGCTTCTACTACAGCCTCTACTGCCCAGCTGCATATGTCCTTCCGCACATACATGGGCTAGTACAGTAAGTCCTCCAGACCCTAACATGAAGAGAAGCACAAGGAGCCACCTCTCTCTCAACCAGGTTTATTTAATATGTCTGATTAAGTCAATTAAACCTGCAGGTGCTACAAGGCGCAGCTACTTGTTTCTATGCTTTCATTGGCTTTGACATAATCGCCACAACAGGAGAAGAAGCAAAGAATCCCAATACCTCCATCCCTTACGCAATCACAGCTTCGCTGGTCACGTGCCTGACAGCATACGTGTCTGTAAGTACCAAATTCAGATAACATTTCTCTACTACATCATCTGTGCTGTTTTCTTACTGATGCGATGTGTCACAGAGAACATGTTGCAAAGGTTTCCTTCTCTGGTGGGCACTGGTGAATCAGCTGTGCTTTTGTACACACATCAGTGTTTTCCTTTGCTACCCTTTGACCTCCCAGTCTGTTTTTTCCAGGCAGAGGACTAAAATATTTCCATTCTGGTGAGGTTATCCTTTCCTCTGCTGGCTGCTGGGAGAATGTGACAGCTTGTCTTTTCTCTGTGCATAATCAATAGCATCAGCTCTAAAGAGGAGTTCAGTGTGTAAAACTGCAGCAAAATGAAAAAGAGCATCAAAAGAGGCAGGAACTATTCACCCAGCCATATCTTTGGAAGAGGAACCACTCCCACTGCTGCAGTTTGGGACTCTGGCCAAGGCAGCACAGATCATCGGCTGGCAGTAACGGGTATGGATGGCAAGCCTGGAAATGCCAGATGCATTGTTCAGCTTCTCTGCATCCAAATGAATGCACATTTGTATTTGGAGATGTAAATTGTAATGGAAAAAAATCAAGTGAGTCTCTGAAAGGGAGGGAATGTTGCTTTATTTTACAGAAAACCCACAGCAAGGCCACCAAGCTACCTCATTCTTTAATCACAGCAGTTACAAGCCAAGTCTCCTTTAGCTGTAATTACATCAGAAATTTTTCCCAAACTGATCCTATCTTTTTCAAGCTGTTGAGGCTAAATGACTCCTACTGCACTTCTCCAGTGAACTAGAGCGCAATTCTATTATGTACCCTGTCTCGTTACACTAATAGGCTCGAGTCAATGCTGATTTCAAGGCTTATTGTCATAATCATGTTTAAACAATGTTGCTGTTGCTTTGTAGTTACAGGAAGGCAGAATTAAAGGCTGCACAGGATCCTCTTTGGTTGTTTTTCATTGGGATATATCATTCTGTAGTGAAGACGTCCTCCGCATGTGACATTTTAAGTTGTCTCTAAGCGATTAAGGGAAGTGCGACCATTTCTGAAATCACGATTGAAATAGTTTGGGCTCTCTTCACTGATAACCTGATCTCCTGCACTACAAAGCCAAGTACCATCCATGCCCCTCTATCCCTATCAGGTGTCTTCTTTTGTCTCTGCTAGGTGAGTGTTATCTTAACACTGATGGTGCCATCCTCTGACATTGATACCGAATCCCCTCTGATGGAAATGTTTGTAGCCCGTGGATTCTACGCTGCTAAGTTCATCGTTGCCATTGGATCTGTGGCTGGCTTGACAGTGAGCTTGCTGGGTTCCCTTTTCCCAATGCCTAGAGTCATTTATGCCATGGCTGGTGATGGGCTGCTCTTCAGGTTAGTCATGCTTTTGCTGTCACTTATTTTTGATCCTTGCTGCTTTTGGGCTAGAATTAAGAATATAAGTGATTGATGGGAGCCCCACTCTTGTTCATTTCATCTTTCCTATGAAAAGCCATGAGATCAATAGCTGCATTTCACTTCTGTAATCAAAGTGCAAGAGGCCACAACGTCAGGGAAACAGTGAGAGCTTGAGATAGGTCACAGCAGCACAGGTCTGCCTGCAAACCTTTTAAACAATTCTGGGCAAGGAGAGGAAAGATGCAGGATGCCATTCCTTCACGCTTCACCACAGCCCGATAGCCACAGTTTGTCACTGGCTGGAAAACAGGAGTAGAAGCAGCGTGATAGCCAGTGACAACAAATAAGAACACAAATTAGAGCAAGTCACCTGGAGAATCAGGGTGGAGCTACAAATGAAAGCTCATGTTAAAGTTTATGGGAATTAATAGCTTTTCACCCAATCCAGGTTTTGCGTGAACAAAATGTCCATGTCATGCTCTACTCACAGAGGACTAAATTACAATATTACCTGTTAGATACCTATTAAGAGAAAATCCTATCAAGTTAACAAGTATGAAAGCCAAGGTTTGCATTTGGTTTGAAATTTTTAGTTTTTTTCAAAACAAATTGCCTAAAATGTTTTTGGTTTCTTTCTCAGGACAGCATTCTATATTATACTAGTGCCATTACAGAAAACTTTTGATCCACTGAGTATTACACTTGAGGCCTTTGCACCAGGAAAGAAAGAGAGAGAAACATCCAGAAATATTTTTTTAATTATATCTAAATATTTTTCCTGGAACAAAATCTCACCTTAGTGGTAGAACATACAGTGAACTTTGTGTTTCACCTCTATAGAGATGAAGAAGAGTAAATACTTCCTTTGGGGGTTGGACCAGATATCTCTTGAGGTCTTTTCCAACCCTGTGATTCTATGAGATGATCATAACCCAGGATTAAAAACACTCCATTTGTCCTAGCATTTGTCTTTACATTAAACTTTTGCACTGTAGACCTAAATGAACCACCAGTCTGAATTCAGACCTGATCCCAAACTGAATACCTGTTAGTATACAGAAAGACTCAAATTGGCTTGAGTGAGTTTTGGATTGGGTTCTTCTGAAACTGATACTGCTATTTAAATACCATACATCAACAGACAGAGGAGCTGATGGTATGTTAAATGTACATGAATAGAAAGCAGCTCATAAATATGATTGTGGAAGGCCCAATCCTACAAGCATTGCCAGGCTTAGTGTATTCCACCCTATGAATCCCAGTTATATCAACAAAGCTACTCACATGAGCAAGCTCAGTTAATCAGAGTTGCTGTATGGAGTCTGCTCAGGATGAGCTCTTGCCTGCATTCCAAGCTTTATAAAAGCTCCCAGTTAAGCCAGCAGGAGTTTGGGATGTATGTGGAAGGCAGGATCAGGTCCTAAGGATGAGACATTGCAGAAAAGCTCAGTATGGGCCACACTGCGGCTACAAAAGTTAGTGGGGGTTTCATGGTTTCACCGTAAATGATCTGATGTTCATGTCAGATCACACATAGATATCTAAAGCTAGACACCACCCCAGGTTCCATGGTTATCACAGCCATTTATTTTGTGCAGAAGAATTTTATTCAGAAACACAATTAGAATAGAAGCAAGCAGCGCTCTAAAGCCTGGCGTTGTGGTTTTCCATCTGGGTGAGGAGTGCTGTAGAGCAGGCTCCATGTTGTGCAACTTTAACCTTCTGTGACTATTTCATACTCTAGATTCTTGTCCCACGTAAGCTCTTACACGGAGACTCCAGTGGTGGCTTGTATTGTCTCAGGATTTCTAGCAGCACTACTCTCCTTGCTGGTCAGCTTGAGGGACCTGATAGAAATGATGTCCATTGGCACACTCCTAGCCTACACTTTGGTCTCTGTTTGTGTCTTGCTTCTTCGATATCAGCCGGAGAGTGACATTGATGGCTTTGTCAAATTCCTGTCTGAGGAGCACACCAAGAAGAAGGAAGGGATTCTAGCAGACTGTGAGAAGGAAGTTTGTTCTCCCGTGAGCGAAGGGGAGGAGTTTTCTGGCCCACCCACCAACACATGCGGTGCAAAAAATCTACCCTCCTTGGGAGACAATGAGATGCTCATTGGGAAGTCAGATAAGTCCACCTACAATGTCAACCACCCTAACTACGGCACAGTGGACATGACCTCAGGAATAGAGGCAGATGAGTCTGAAAACATTTACCTCATCAAGCTGAAGAAGTTAATAGGGCCACGTTACTACACAATGAGGATCCACCTTGGACTGCCAGGGAAAATGGATCGGCCGACTGCAGCCACTGGCCACACTGTCACCACTTGTGTGATCTTGCTGTTCATCTTGATGTTTATCTTTTGTTCTTTCATCATCTTTGGTGCAGACTATATCTACGACCATAGCTGGTGGGCTATTCTTCTGGTGGTTTTGATGATCCTGCTCATCGTTGTATTGGTTTTTGTGATCCTGCAGCAGCCAGAAAACCCCAAAAAGTTGCCGTACATGGCACCCTGTCTCCCTTTCGTCCCTGCCTTTGCCATGCTGGTGAATATCTATCTCATGCTGAAGCTCTCCAAAGTAACATGGATCCGATTTGCTGTCTGGTGTTTTGTGGGTGAGTTTTGGATGTTCTTTTAGCTGAGTTTAAAAGTAACTTAGAACAGCAAGGCCAGGCTGCCTGTCTAACCAATGGGATTGCTCAGCTAGGATGTGTTATAATTCTTTGACCTTGTGTCTTATTTCTTATCAGTGACTCCTGAATACCCAATCAGTCTGAGTTAATCCAAGCTGACAATATTTTTCTGTAAGAAAATGCTAAATCATTGGAAGCCAAACATTTTACAAAATGACAGTTTTCACACAGAACACAGGCCCAGCCTGCTCGCCCACCCATTTGTTCAGCTCACTTCAGAGTTTCTAGGTCCCACAGCTTCAGAAAAGCCTGGCAATACATGCTGCTGCAGGGTCCAAGTAGCCTAGATCTTCGCTAAGAGTCAGGGAGGCAGCTACCCTCAGGACCTCTAGTTCAGACTCTCAGGGGCTAGGCTTTTGGCTTTCCAGCAGGAAGATTGGTAACCCTGGGTGCTCTCAGGACTTCCATACTCCTTGCCAAGGAGCTAGGTATCTAGAAGACCTGGGGTCTCTAGCACTTTGCATCTCTTCCAACCAACTCTCTCCAAACATCCAGGGAAAAAATAGCATATTTTATGGTATCTCCAAGAAATTACATGTCCAGACAGCAGAGAGCCAAAGCAGGAAGACAATGCCAGAGTCAAGGCCCCGTCATGGGGAGATATTTTAGATAGGACCTAGGAGCCCCAGCCATAAAACAGATGTTCCCATTGTGGTAGGTACTGTAGAAATACAGAATAAATGGTTCCTGGCCTAATACCCTGTGAGCAAACCCTCCCCACTTAAATCAGAGCTCACTGATCCTGGCATGGAAATACAACTGGGAGGCTGTATTTAAGTGGTTAATATCATTCTGCTTACAAGATGAAGCCTTTATTCAAAGGGGTAGAATCAGCCTCTCTGCTCTCAGTTGAAATGAGAGCTGTCAGCTTCTCTACCATGTGTCACCTCAGTCTGAACTGAACTGCTAGCAGGGTTTGTGTTGGGAGAGTAAAACAGTCCAGCATTTACTACAGAGTCATTGCTAGACACCCCCCCGCCCACCTCCACATTCCCGTTCTGACTGGCAGCTGCCAAGTGTGCCTGTACTGACAGCTCTCAGGGGTAAAACTTGATCTGATGAAAATGGAAAACAATCCAGAAGACCCTCCCTGAACTCTATCAGCAGCAGACAGGCTTTCCTGTTTGTGGACAAATCAGGAGAGACAGATGAACTCACCCAGCTGCGTGGTCCTCATTCTCATATCTGCCAGTCAACATGGAGATGCCCGGGTCAGCCCACATTCCAGCAGGTGCCCTTTCACCTGCACTACGCCATCCAGGGCTGCTTTTCTGAGCAAGTCAGTTGCCTGTCAGTGAGTTACTCGTTGCTCTTGAGCCATGCTTTTCCTATAATTTGTTTGAAAACTTGTTCAGATTGCAGATTTCCTCACTGGAATCTAATGTGGCTTGACAGCGGGCGTCCAGATGTGGAGTGCCAGACCTATGCCTCTAGATCAGGGCTGTTCAGCTAGCACCCACAGGGCACAACTGGCCTGCAGAGGATTAACTTGCAGCCTCCCCTGGCTCCCAGCCTAGGATCTGCTTGCCCTGTTGCTCCTGCTGTCAGTCTCTGGGCTCCCACCCCTGCTCCAGCTGGGAGTTGCAGTGGGGAGAGGGGCAAGGAGACACAATCTGCAGGGCCCAGGGAGCCCCAGGCCTGTGGAGGGGAGAGCGGGCCACACCACATAGTCTGCAGCCTGTCCAACATCCCAGGGAGCATGTGGCCCCAGCCATTAGAAGTTAGATGGCCCTGCTCTCAAAGGGTGTCTGTACACGTGCTCTGGGGTAGAGAAGAATAGGAGACTGTACATTAAAGCGCACATGTAGACGCGCCCTCTGTGACTCAGGCTGGACTGCTCCTGGGATTAGTCTATCTGAAGGAGGAAAGTGGTAACATATTCAGCGCAAGGCAGTTTGGGGTCTCAGTTCTCTCCAGCTGGGGACCTCCTGTTTGCCCACTCCTAATGCACAAACAAGGGGATGCCCCTAAAAGCAGCTCATTTAAAACTGAGAAAACGAAATACTGAGAATCCTTTGCACAATCCGTAAGTAAACTGTAAGATTTGCTGCCACAAAATGTTATTGAAGCCATGATCTTAACAGCATTAAAAAGCAATCAAGACTTCTACCGGGATAATAAGAGCATCTACTGTTACTTTAGATTAAGATAAAATAAGTATAAGGGATACAAATCCCCATGGTTCAGACCAAAAGAACACGCCTGATGGCTAGGGATCCACAAGATGTTTCCCACAATGTGTCTGTAAGAGGGAGAGAGGTTTTGCACCTTCCTTCAATGCGCCTGGGAAAAGCCTTAGCTGGAAACAGAATACTTGGCTACGTGGTGCACCGATCTGATCCAGCAGGCATTTCCCGAGTGCCTTGTGTTACTAACTGGTAGGCCTGCGTGAAGTGGCTAGTATTTGCTTCGGATTCAGATTTGGCCGACGCAGGGGACAGTGATTAAATTCGGTGATTTGAATCACTGTCCTGAATTGATTTGGCCAAATCTGATTTGGAGATTTGGCCACTGCCAAATTGGCCAAATTTCCGAATCGGCCCCTTCCCCTGCCCACTATCAATGGCTGCCTTGCTCTCTCTCCCAGCTCCCGGCTCTTAAAAAAAAACTGCACCCACACTGCTTGGGGGGCTCTGCCATGAACCCCAGAAGCCCCGAGGCCGCTGCAGCAGCTGGTGAGTGGTGGGAGCTGGGAGAGTGGGAGGGGGTCAGGGGCTCGTGGCAAAGCCTCTCATGCAGCGTGAGGCAGTGGGGATCCCCCCCCACCCACCACCTGGCGGCAGCCATGAGCAGAGGCTGTTTTTTAAAGAGCCAAGAGCTGGGGCAGGCAGGGCAGCCATGCAGTGGGGCTGGGAGAGCAGGCAGGGGTCGGGCAGCGCTCGGGGGGCTGGGGGAGCAGGCAGGGGATGGGGCCTGGCAGGGGTCCCCCCATGGTCCCCTCCCCCTACTTACCTGCAGTGGCGAGTGGGGGCTGCCTGAATCTCCAAAGCTCTCCAAATCTTTTCTAAATCAATTTGGAGAGCTTTGAATTGATTTGGACTTTTTAATTGGTCTCCTGATTTGATTTGGATTCAGCCGCCAAATCGGGCTGAATCTCCTCCGAATCGAATCAGCACCTGAAGCTTCGCACAGCCCTACTAACTGGCTGCCACAATATCAGATGAGGATGCCACCCTCATCCTAAGGACCAGCATAGCCAACAGAGCACAGACTGGGGCTCTGAGCATCTGGATGGGAATTCAATTTGGGCTGTGGTTTGAAAAGAAGAAGAGCTCAGCTTGCAAATCTAATTCAGGACAAGTGATGACCCTCAACCTAGACTTCCCAGAGCAGCTGGATTGCATTGTGTCCTCCTGTGCTGCAGTCTCCGGAAGAGGGGAACCCTTGGGAAGCTTTGGAGAAATAGTCAGCTAGATACAACACCTAGTGTTCCTTACGCCAACCCAGGTCCCTCCAAGTCCTGCATCAAGGGTAATCGTGTCCCAAGGGTGACCTGCCCCCTCCCTTTCCCAGCCAGACATCTTGCATCATTGTGGCTCTTCCAAAATATTGCAGCCCATCACGTAGCTCTGCAGCACTTAGCCAGCATCTAAATTGATCAGAACCATTTAATTTATCCTGCTTTTCCTTCTTAATTTCAAAGCAGCCCACTGCAGCTGAGCGGGATGGTAGGCAGAGGGCTAGACAGCAGGGCTTCTCAAGATGTATTTTTAGGATTTAATTGGACTGAGTGCAGGCTGGAACTTCCCAGGGCTCAGAGCTGCAGCTTCATTAAATTTCCATGAACAGAAATTTGCACACAGGCCATCTGGCCATGCAGGATCTGTGCTTCGCAGCCTTATCAGGAGACCTCTAGAACCGTGGGCTCATCCATTTTTCAATAACCCAAGTCAACAGGGGAAAGAAACTCAGTGGCAGGAACAGAAAACCTTTCTGCCTTGTATGAGAGGTCTAACAAAAACAGCCATCTTCTGATGCAATTCCATTCAAGTCAGACAGGTTTTAAATATTGCCAGCTCCAGTCATTCAAAACTCATGAGTCAAGCCACTCCGTATCATAAGACTTGCTTTAAAACCATGAGATTTAAGAAAAATGAGTATTTGGGGCTCTTTCTACTTCCTTTCTATTATCTGAACCTTTCAGGGTCATGCTTTCAAGCTTTCCTCTTTGGTCATGAGGGCTAGACATTTTTATAAACAGAAGCTGAGATTTTTCCCAAGATCATCCCATTCCAGAAAATGGGGCCTTACGAAAAATTTCAAACCACCACAAGGTGCACAATTAAATCAGGAGAGCTGGCCTATCCACTTGATTACTGAATTTGGCACGTGGGTGGTTTATTAGCACAATACAAAGGTGTTATTTATGCATAATAATCAAAAAGACCATGTATGTTATTCCCAGTTAATTGCCACTTGACTATATGTTAGACACATGGGAGTGAGAATTCATGAAAAGTAAATAGGCAAATACCTATCTGCATAAAGCATTAATCATACCTTAAATTCCACCTTCCGCATGGCACTTGCCATTTTGGATCCGGCTGCAGATTCCTCTCAGAGTTGTCAGCCCTCAGGATTTTATGGTGTGTCTTAGGTACTTGTTTTTTCACTTAGATGTCCAGCTCCTGGAGTTAGGGGATTCTCAGAAAAAAATTCAACTCTTAAAAAAAAGTTTCTAGTATTTCAAGGTTGAAGACCAAGGTTTGAAAAATCTAATGGACAAAGTCTCTAATATTAGAAGGAAAATAAAATGAGCCCCAGAGTCCCCTGTGGTTCAGTGGGAGAATTCCTGTCTGCCACACAAGAGACCTGGGTTTGATCCCTCAATGCTTATACAACTACAGCCCTGGAGGCACCAAATGTCCTGACTCAGTCTGGCCTTTGGGTTCTGTCTCAGTGGCCTAAAATGAGGATGAAGGTCTGGGCAGCCTCTGCTCCTCCAAGCTCTTGCCTAGGCATATGTGCTGAAAGTCTGGGTGACTTCTCACACATACACCATGATCTGGAAGGATTGATGGTTGCCAACAGAAAATGAGACCCAGACTATCTGTTCTTAAAAATCTTAGGAGGTTTCAGCTAGTTTTGCAGAGAATGGGGTGAGTCTCCAGACTTGGCAGTAATGACCTCTAGCTAGGTAGGTAATGCACTCCTCTGGTAGTGGCCAGCACCTGATTGCTTTAGAGAAAGGATTTATGGCCAAATTAAAGTATACCAAGCGGGATAATTCCTTCATGACCCCTACAAGCAATTCACACCCCACAGCACCGGAAGGCCGTCACAGAGGAGCCTGTAAAACAACATCTAGCTGTTTTGCAGTGGCTGCTTCACACAATCCAGGGACTACAGGTTGCACATATGTTGGCCCTTGGAAGACACAGCCACCTTCACATAGAAGCTGCACCACCCGTCAAATGTGATAGCTGCCCCCTGTGCCTGCAAATCAAAGTGACTTCAAAACAGCAACCGGGTCTGCTTCATTTAATTATGTTTTCCCTGTGACTTGTATGGTATTCCTTTGGCTATCAACCAAGGGAGCTACTGACTGAAGGCAGTGCCTCTTAAATGTAATTACTTCCCCTGCAGCTTCCATGGAAGCTGCTAAGCACAAGGCTGAGAGGGATGGGGTTTGTTTTACTTTTACCTTTGCTGGTGTGGGAGACATACAGTCCCATTCACATAGGCAGTCTGTTGTCTCACTTGATGATGTCAGTCAGTGCCAAGGCCAGACCAGACGCTCTGGGTGCCTTGCTATAGAGATGCATCTGCAGCAGAATATTGCCAAGTAGGATTTTAACTCTCTAGTTACTTTAGATTCTTGAAAAAAACATGTTACGTTGGTAGCAGGGAGAAGAAATTGTATAAGGTCAGATGAAAAGACAAGAAGGAACAAAAGCTTGGAAAGAAATCAGATAGTTAGTAATCAGAGGAGGACATTTTAGCACCCATCAGATTTAGCCTGATAGCCAGGAAGCACACTTGGCCATATGCAGTGGGGGAGTAAAGGAGAAAAGATGAGGAGAAAGGCCTGAAAATGCAGCTTTTGCCTATTCTTGGGATTTTCTCACAAGTCTCATGATATTTCAGGGCTTTTCCTAAAGCCCCGGATCATGGATACATCTGATTATGAGAGAATCATGGTCCATATTTAAAATATACATATATATTTCTGGTTCCTTGGTTGCAGAGAGAGAAGCTTGAACACACAAAACCTAAAGGGTTCAAAAACTAGATGTGCAATTTTTTTTAAAATCTCATAATATTTATGTGAAGCTCTTATCTTTAATACTAATATTACATGGAGCCATTCCTCAGCCAGTACAAATTGTCATAGTGCTCTTGACTTCAGGGTTTTCACTGGACCTAGGCTATGTTCATCAGCTGGAGATCTGGCCCATATATGGGACCCTTATACCTCAGTGGGGTATAGAGTGTCTATTCCCTATTCCCCTAATAGGTTTTTTCTAGCACAACACACTGTTGCTTGGTTTTCTGTATGACTCTAAAATTCACATAGTCTGTATAGGGAATACAGATGGTAAAACATCTGTGCAGTAGCTTCAGGGTAACATTGCATGTGTTTAACTGTAAAGTTTGGGTCACTGTAACATAGCATTTATTTATTCCTTTCCGAAATGGTTAACAGCTGACTCCCCTTACCTTGCTCCCTTCCCTCACTGCAGGTTTGCTCATCTATTTTGGCTATGGCATGTGGAACAGCACCCTGGAGATCAGCGCTCGGGAGGAGGCCCTTCATCAGAGCACATACCAGCGTTACGATGTTGATGTTGACCCCTTCTCCGTTGAAGAAGGCTTTTCCTACGCTGAGAATGACAACTACCAGGACTGGGGAGCTTCTGAAGACAAAAGCTTCTCTTATCAGCAGATGTCGGAGGCAAAGGAAAGTAATCGGACAGGTAGCAAATCAAAAAGTAAAGGCAAACACAAACAGAATTCTGAGGCCCTGATTGCAAATGATGAGTTAGATGACTCGCCAGAGTAAGGGTCATGGGAACCAAACTGTAATGCGCTCTCTCGCTAACCTAACCCGTGGGCTAGAATGTGAAGGCTTCTCTGGCTCTCATTGTAAACTCCATCGTCCTCAAAATTTCAGTGCCCAGAATCATGTCCCTCACTCTCTCACTTCTTCTCCAGGATAGTCCTGGATTCTGAGGTTGTCACTTTGAACAAAACAAACAAGTGGCCTGTTCTGTGTCCATCTGTCATGTCCTGTTTTGGTGAATTTTACCAAAGGGGGCCATCACTTGGATGGATTGATTGACTAGCAGATTCTTTCTGTGTCTATTAAACCATCAGCATGCATTATATTGAACACCTGGCAGTACTGACAACATGAGTTAATGGGAGATGTGCCAAATAGGATGAGCATATAATAAGTGAGCAGAGTCACGTGACCAGATGAATTGGTAAGGGCCTGAAACATATTCTCTGTGCTTTCCATAGAGAATATTTATCCCATAATACTGGCTTGAAGCTACTGTTATATATTTGGCACTTTCTTAGCAAATATATTTTTCCTTGAACCTTGTAGGAACAAGATCT